ACACTTCCCTGGGCACCTTTCCCTGAGCATCCCCAGCCTTCCCTGGGCACCTTTCCCTGGACATCCCCAGCCTTCCCTGGGCACCTTTCCCTGAGCATCCCCGCCCTTCCCTGGGCACCTTTCCGTGAGCAACCCCACTTTTCCCTGGGCACCTTTCCCTGAGCATCCTCACCCTTCCTTCCCTGGGCACCTTTCCCCAGACATCCCCTCCCTACCTGGGCTGTCCCATCCACCAGCAGCTCCAGGGACGCTCCCGCGGTGCCGAAGCTCAGCACATCCCCCGGCCTCACCCTGACGGCCGCGTTTTGGACCTGGCAGCTGTTGACAAAGGTGCCGTGGGGGGAGTTGAAGTCCCGGAGGACGAAGCTGTTGTCCGAGGGGGAGAATTCCAGGGCTGCGTGACGATCTGCTACACCTGCGGACTGGGAGGGGGCACGGGCAGGGAACGCTGCCGGATTTGGCTCCAGGTTTGGTCCTGCTCTGCTGAGCCCCTTTTCTGCTTGTCAGTCCCACCATAAACTGGGACCCCAACACTCTGGCACATCCTCCTCCCCCCTCCCAAACCACAGCCCCTTTTAGGATGCTCAGCTGCCCCGGCCCTACCTGCAGGACGATGTCGGCCCCTCTGCGGCTCCCGATGGTCGTGGTGTAGGATTTCAGCTGGAAACACCCCTCCGAGCCCTTTAGAAAAGCTCGCATTGCCCAGCCCCCTCACYTGCAAGGCTGGAATCAAACTAAGTCCTCAGCCAGCAACTTCCCCCCAACACAGAACCTGAGCCACGAGCAGCTCAACMAACTCAAACTCTAAAAATTGTACAAAATGACCCCAAAGGCAGCTCTGTCCGAGCTGGCAGTGTGACTGCAGTAGCCTTGGAAACCTCGGCCCCGCCCGAGGAACCCGCTGCCGCCTGCCTTGGTGAGTTTTCCTCTTTGATTTGTTTAGGTTTTTTTTTTTTTCTTCCTCTTTTTCCAAGCAACTGGCCCGGCAGCACAACACAGCTCTGCGCCGGCGTGGCCGCAGCGATCCCGGGTCAGCTGGGGACACACGAGAGAATGATTGTGTGTCACAAACCTCCCAGGGGCTCTGCCACCTGCCAGGCTTGCTGCTGAACCCTTTTGTCCCCATTTTACTTATTTTTTTTTATTTAATATCATGCACTCTCACACATGCAAATCGGTCTTCCAGCCTCAGGCCAGGGGATAAACGCTGCCACCCATTGGTGCTTCTCCATCAATATCCCTTGGTCCTGGACTGCAACACATTGCTTTTCAACAGCAAAAAAAGAGAAAAAAACAGCTTGCCACCAACATCCCCCAGTTTGCCCTCACCACTCCTGCAAGATTTCATCGTGTTTCTGTTTGAGGAAGAAGCAGCACATTTGGCAAATTAGAGCTTCTCTGCAAACTTCTACTAGTCTGAAGYCATCCCCTCTCATTCTGTCACTCCGTGCCTTCGTATTAATCTGTATTGAAAGTGATGTAAAATTCTACTCTCAAATTCCTAAACCACACAGAAATGTATCTGAGGAAGTGTAACTGAAAGTAAGTAACTCAATTGATTGGCAATTAAGACTCTTTTTTTGGTCCCTCTTTCTTTGGTGTGATTTACTCTTTTTGTTTGTATTTTGTTGTGTCTTTGTCTGGGTCTCTCTCTGTCTCTCTGTCTCTCACTCCCCCACTTTGACCTCTCAGTTTCTCTCCCTCACTCTTGGCCATCTTTGTCCCCTCTTTGTCCCCCTCTCTCTCCTCTTCACCTCTCTCTCTCTCTTTTTCTTCTCTCTTTCCTCTTTTCTTTGCTCCTTTTACTCTGTCTTGTCTTTTGTCTATTCTTTTCTCACTTTCTCATCTCTGTCTCTCTTCTCTGCATCTCGAATATTCCATCCTGTACCTTTTCCAAATGATAAGCACACACACTTTGTGTATCTGACCATCTCAGCAGTCATGGGTTCTGAGAATCCTGAATCCCTGAGTTGGAAGGAACCTTAAATATCATCTATTTCCAACCCCTCCCTTCCTGCCACACCTTCCAGTAGAATCAATTGCTTGAGGCCCCATCCAGCCTTGCCTTGAAGACTTCCAGGGTTTCTTCTGCCACAGCTTCCCACAGGTGATGTGTTGGTGCCTCAGCTCTATCACAATAAAGGATTTTTTCCTGATCCCTAATGTGAACTAAACCTCTTCCACCCCAAAGCCATTTCCCTGATTCTATCACTACCTGCTCTTGTAAGGAGCCCTTCTCCCGCTCTCTCATGGCCCCATCAGGTACTGAAAGGCCACAGTGAGGAGTCCTGGAGCCTTCTCCAGGTTAAACAACCCCAAATCTCTCATCCTGCCTCTCTAGTCATGCCTATAGAACTTGGGTCAAAGTTACAAGATGCTTATATAGTTTGATTTGTAAAATACCTATGTAACCTGAATTATAATGTTTTAAAAGCTATAATTCAGATTATATAAGTATTAATACTTAAATAACCTGAATTATAATGTTTTAAAAGCTATAATTCAGATTATATAAGTATTAATACTTAAATAACCTGAATCACAACTCTCTATATAATGTAATGTCAAACATGGTCAACTTGTTGCTTAATGCTTAAGTGAGCAAMAACTCACCAGGTGGATAAGCTCAAAAATAGATAAATATAGCTAATTGGGAAACAGCAAGATGAGCTAGTGAGAAATTGGCAAATGTAAAGCCATTTAGCACGAGATGAAGAATTTAGACCAGTTAGATCCAGAAAGCTCAAGGAACACCATAACTGTGCATGCACCAAAGGAAAAGCTGAAAAGTTCAGGAAGACCTTGGGCCTTCATCAAAGACCCCCAAGACCACCTAAACTGTGGAATTGCAGAAAAACTATTTATARCAGTGAGGTAAGCTCATGTAAATTAGTTCTGGACATGTACATGATGATGTTATGCTGACACAGCAGTATTAAACAATATTTATTGTATAAATAAACCACAACATTTGATAAAGTTGGGTGAGTTGGGTGGAGAAATTCCCTTACCTTCAGTGCTGCAATAAATAAATCCCTGCTCTATAGATGCCTCTCTGTGGGGTTTTATTTATGGCCTGTCTTTTCAGGCTTCAATAGCAGAGGTGTCCCATCCCTTTAATCATCTGCAGTCATTTCCTTTCCCTCACATTGTTCTCTCTGTGACAATCTCTTTAGTACAGCCAGGTAGCTGTACTAAATTTTGATACTTTTTGATGTTTCTCATCACTAAATTATGAATTTAAGGTTTAAAATGTGTTCCATTTATAGAACTCAAGCTTCTGATTTCAGACAAGTAACAGTGACAGCTAAAAGTTGCATGAAGACAAACAAGAACAGTTGTTAATTAAAAGGTAGGATAAGTAGGAAGAAGCTTTAAATTGACAGTAAATGCATTGTAATGTCTAAAATGAGAGATTATCTACATTTTTAAAGCCTTTGAATTCACTCTTCTGTTGTTAATTAAAAAAATTATTGGTTCTTGTATTCTGGAAATCTTTCTCCCAGGCATGTGTTGCATGGCAAAGAGAGGCACAAGAAGAAAAAGAATGTACTAACATCACAGATTTGGACAAACTACTGGCTCTTCAGAAGAAGGAGGGAGTAGAAAATAAAATTTAAAAGGTTCAATTAGCTACTTGAATATGTACTACATTACCTTGCATGAAAAATTATGCAGATATAGAAAAGATATCCTTGCCAAAGCTCTGTTCCTTACAAAACTGGCTGCACTTAGATCTAAAAACAAGATGAGGTGAATTTCTTCTGAATAGCAATTCTTGATCAATTGAAACTGGCAGTTTTCAGCAAYATTCAATAACATATTAATGCCAGATTTCATTTCAAAGAGCAACAAGTCTTTATTTTCTGAAACAGAGGATGCCACCAGAAGAAATTACAAGTGCCTCATAAGAATTCTTGGAGCAATTAAGAAAAAAGATTTAAAGCCAGCATCTACCTCCACCATTGTGGGCACTCCCACAGTAAACACACAGTTGTCTGAAATAAATGAATTCCATGATTTTCACTTGTTTAGAAGGTGGATGATGAGGATCCCTGCCAGGATTTGATGTCACAGAGGCCAACACAGACTCAGGGCATGGAATCATTGATATGGGAAGGGATTTTTGGAGAGATTGKTCAGGGCCCTCCCAGTAACTTTTTGAGTGTCTCCAAGGATCGACTGTCCACCACCACCATGGGCAACCCCTTCCAGTGTTTTCCTGTTTTCATGGCAGGAAAAGTTCTTGGTCTAAAGCAAATTTTTAATATAAGGGTAGGGTTTGTTTT